TCCAACCCAAATCCAACTATTAGTCCCTCTATCCTCTCTATCCAACTATTGGGCTCAAGCTCGTTTGTCCCCAGAGCGAGCTGACTTCTGAATAATTATCGAAAATCAAGTGATATTGAAGCTGTTAAGGCCCATTTACATGGTGCAAGTTTCTTGCCTGTTGTATACAATTAAATTGAAGCAATAAATGAGTTGCATGGTCTAAGCAACAAATGGTCTAAACAATTATTGCGCACAATTTATTGCATTCAATTATTGCTCTTGTATGTACAAGAAAATGGCATCGTGTAAATGGGCCTTTAGTCTCAATACTTTTCGTAAGCACTTACAAGAAACCATTGTCTATGAGTAGATTAGTCTTCTTGTATATTATATATATATATATATATATACATAAAAGTAAAGTAGAGTAAAGTAATAGCCAATACATGTCCCACTGCTGGGCAAAGGCCTCCTCTATACAGAGGGTATTAGGGCATAGTCCACCACGCGGCCCCACTGCGGATTGGCGGACTTCACATATTTTCGAAATATATATATATTTTTTTGTTATTATTTCGAAAATATGCAGGTTTCCTCACGATGTTTTCCTTCACCGCGGAGCACGTGATAAGTCAGCACTTAAAGTTAAAAACTTCATTGGTGCCGGCACCGGGGATCGAACTCAGGTTGCTCGAGTATATTGAATTAAAGGCGAGCGCCCGGACACTGAGCTATCACGGCTCGATATATATACATACATAATTTTAAATTTTCCTTTTACGTCTTTTCCTGAATGCGTTATATATGTATATACTTCAATAGGTACCTTTTTATGGACGTGGAGAAGTGCCAGTCCGGTTAGACCTTATTCAAACATTAAAATCAAATTAAATAATTTATTCATCGAAATAAGAAGTATTAATTTCATCTAACGATAGTAATTTTTTAAATCTACCACATTGAAGCTCTTAGCCACGATTTGATTCATCGTTACGTAGAGAAAGATCTTTCCGCCGTTTCTACACTAACAGTTAGTCAGTTTGTGTAGCCATAATACATAAAAAACATCTTATATTAGGATACATCTCAATATCACAATTTAAAATAGTCAGAAATTGCGACTGCGGTATTAAAACCCACTCACCACTATCATCTTTTCCCTTAGAGCAAGCAAGACCATGCAAATTTCACACCACACAACAGACTTTTGTAAATACATATTAATTATAAGTACATAAAACACCTAGATTCAAGCCAAAATCAATGTTCACCCCGTAAATATTAGCCATGTAGATACGGACGGGGCCTGAACACGCGATTCGTCGGTTAGTAACCGGAAATCCGACCATTATTTAAAATGAGCAGTCATTTTTAATTATTAGTAGTCTCGGCAATTAGCATTTAACTAAAAAAAAAGTAGTAAATCGAATTGTAGTAAAACTTTAGGTATATTGTAAAAACAAGCAAAACGGTTCTAGCCTCTTTAATATTTTATAGCTTTTAAAAATGTGTAAAACATATACCTATATAGTTAAAAGTAGTAGGTAGGTAATAAAGATTACTATTTACTTGTTGTAAACGCCTGTTAATAAAAAGCAATGATTTTGTGTCGCGCAATAGTTTTGCAATGAAGTTTTTGATTTTTAAATCTTCAACGAAGGTTATAAATTTCACTGTGTCACGAAGTGTCAGTATAGTATATATGTATTTCAGTATATATGTCTTATCTATGGTGTCAGTGTAACACTAACGCCCGGTTTCTGAAACACTGATACATAGAGTAAAGCAATACTACAGAAACTGATCTGCACTGATCTGATCATCGTAGATGTCAACGAGTCAGCTTTCAAAAGGTTTTTCAAATGTTTTTTGAGTTACAAGAAGGATGCTTAAACTCTTTGAATTGATCATTAGAAGATCATTTTGGTCAATTCAGAGAGTTTAACCATTCTTTGGGGAACTAAAATGAAATTGGAAAAGCCATTCGATAGCTGATTAGTTTACATTTACGATGATCAGTGTTTCAGAAACCGGGCTTAAATCTAACATCAGATGAAAGTTAGTGGTGAAAGGCGGGGTAAAATTAAAATTTTCGATGCATTCGTTCCAGAATCAAACAAGAACAAAATCATACAAAACATTTAATTAGTGATCCATCTTGGTCCTAGACCTAGCCCAGGGGAGGTCATGACCCCCATAACCCTCCCTTGCTTGCTTGTGTGATACTAATGTGACTGTCCAATCAATCGGTCCGAAAGGCGCCGCGCTTTGCCGGTGGTCGATAATATTGAAGGAAGCATTGGTCATTGAGCAAATGATTCAGGTGCAGTACGATGGGGGCGTAGGTAACAAAAGTAAATAACTATTTATCAAATGTGCCAGTACTCTGAAAAAGACATAAAATGCAATTGATTATTTTTATGTGGAAGGTAGCAAACGAGATAGCGGTTCACCTGATGTTAAGTGATAACCGCCGCATGTGCAATATCCGTAGGGTTTCAGATGCGTTACCACTGTTTAATAAAGTGGGCCCGGGTTACCTCATTCACCAGATGAAACGCAGAAGTGTAATACCTCCACTTCATGCCGGTCTTCTGTGAGGTCGTGGTACTTACCCGGACGGACCTATCCATTCTTGGAACAGCGAAGACTGTTGCGTGTCCTACTACAGTTATAATTTTAGATGTGTACTCCATGTTTTCGAAGTTATACTTCTTTTGGTGCGTTAGTGAAAAAAATGATGAGAGTAAATTTTGTACGATTTTTATATTGTTACGCCAAAAAAGTATATCTTCTAACGCGTGTACATAAGTACACACACACTTTTTTTTTCGTGGATATGACGATGATCATCCGTGAAGTTTTGTGAAGCAGCACTGCATTATAACCACATAGAACGTTTATCTGTATAACTGTATTCGTTTTAATTGCACATAAAGTTCTGAACAAATCATGCTTTATTGGGATGGTATCCAAATGATTCTGCCAGTTGCGTTATACTATTACTGTGGTTATTATTTTCCTTAATTAGTTCACTTCAATTATTTGAACGCTTTATACAGTGCAAAAAACATTTTTAATCTCAAAATTTGCCACGGCTGTAATCATAGATAAAATAATCCGTTTAAGTAGGAACCAACGCTAACAACAAAAAATACAAAGTTTGTGTAAAGTCGCGATAGGCAATATTGTCTTTAACTTGAAGAGATAAGGACGTTTATGTGTGCATAATGCATATAACGTTCGTGGCATGCAGTGTCGAGTAGCAGTACTGTGAATAAAATCTTCATAAAATATCCAGGTTTTAAGGTGTATTTTTCAATCAATAGCAATAAACACAAGTTAAAATATTGAAAATAGTTAATGCTAATAGTGTTAGATTATATATAAAGCGTGGCGTTACAAGCATGACAATAAATGAACACACATATAAAGGATAACTTTTAAAATTTTTTTTAACATTTACATTATTTAAACATCAATATTTACCGAGTTATTAAATTTTCCAAAACAAACAATTTTAGAACACCCTTACGTATAAAACTGTAACGTAAAGTTCATTTGTAAAGGTCACAAAGCAAATGAATAGGTTGAATAAACTTAAAAGAGATAAAACAAACTGTAAGAAGGAGAGATTTGTAATGTAAGTCTCTGAATGTATGAATCAGTTAGTTGTCGAGGTATAGGATGTTACAAATTTTATTTCTTTATTATTTAATTAGTTTGTTTGAAAAATATTTTATTTTAGTTATGGAGTTTTTTTAATTTATATTTTTTAATGATTATTGGCAAATAGCAATAGACGTGTGTTCATTTATTGTCGCGGTTGTAACGACACGCTGTTTATATATAGGTGAATTTTATTTTTTAATGAATTTATATTTCTGTACTAGCAATCTCTCAAATTATGTATTGTCTATGTTTCACGGGTATTTCCCACCAATTTTAACAGAAGTAGTTACTTTAAAAGTTTCTAGTTTCTATTCTTACCCAAGCTTCAGGGGATGTCACAACTTAATTCGCTTCTGAGCTAATAAAAATTTATTAAATAATAAAAGAAAACACAAAAGTAATAATAATACATTTATATGCTTCAATGCATGATGGAGTTAAAAATAATGGGTAATGCCGCAAATTAAATTAGTTACTTAAATAAAGTATTAATTTTCCACATTTTATATTAAACGTTATTCTACTTTCACAAAGCATCCAGGGCTTTCGTTTTAAATCTTGTCCTGGAATTTTTACATTTTGTCTAACATTTCTAAAAGATCTTCTTGTGTAGATTTCGGGGCGTCAGCAATGAAAGATAAATCATTGTTATTATTGGCTTTAAGATTTGTTTCAATTTCTTCAAAACATATTTCTTTATTTATTTCAAGATTCTTTTTCTTTGAGTTATCTTCGCCTAATACTATTGGCAACTGAATTTGTATGTTTTGTTTCCTGTACATTTTGTCTATATGAGATAGAAGACAATTTATTTCATTGGCGTCTGTAGACTTATTTTCGTAGTCTTCCATGGAATTTTTCTTATTATCATATATATAAATGTTTTCTCCTAAATTTTGCGAAATCTTTGCACTCATTGTAGCTGAAGAGTTGAAAGTGCCGTCTTTATTTTGTAAGCCTAATCTAAGTAACACAGAAATTTTTGTGTGATATTCAGAAAACCATAAAATCATTGTATTATACAGACATTTATAATCATCATCTGACATTTTGCCTCTGAACGATTCAATCTTGTTTATAACAATTTCTATATAATTCTTAGGAAAATACGGAGGCATAAGGCTGGCAATGCCTTTTAAATGTCTGCGACTAATGTCAAAGATACTTTGGTTATTTGCTACTGATATTTGCCATTTAAAAATCATAGTCATCAAATCCCACAATTTATTCATGGAATACTCATCGAGCTTCATTATTGATGTCGCAGCTATATCTTGCAATAGTTGTTTTATTACAGCGTGAGTGGCTACGGGTTGGGGGATGAATAGTTCCCCTTGAAGTTTTGGATGAAGGAGCACCGTAACTATATCTGTTAGAACTGAAATAAACATTAAAGATACGTGTATATTTTCTCATTTTTCCTACTAACATTTTATAATTTGCTTGGTTACAGGTTCAAACGATAAACAAACCTTTCTCCGATTTATCCAGTGGAATGTTTTGACTCTTCAATCGCTGGTCTATAACATATATCATTTCACAACCGAGATTTATAACAATAAATGGCGTTGCGAAGTGCGACATTTTCACTTTTGATCCTGCGCTGAATATATTATACCCAAAATGATTATTGATCACTTATATGAAGGAGTTATTTCAAAACTGAATGCTCAATCTAAAATTAAAGATATTTCAAATCAGCTCTTATCTCTGAAATGTAATAATGAAAGGGTATTATATGTTTATAAAGTTTTAAGTGATGTAAATGCTTTCCCTCAACTTACAAAAGTGGAGAAGTCAGATTCTGTGTCTACATACTATCGTAACCAAGGTAACAAATGTTTCCAGTCATCTCAAGATTTTAAGGCCTGGCAATATTACAATTTATCTTTGTTGCACTCACCCATTAATTCAAGCAATTATACCCTAGCATTATCAAATAGATCTGCTGTATATTATTCTATGAAGAAATATAATGAATGTTTAAATGATATAGATACAGTTTTTCTAATGAATATACCACAGGAGTTAAGTGTTAAACTGAATAAACGAAGAGAATTATGTGAAGAGGCTTTACTCAAACAAAAAGTGAAGACCGAATTGAACCCAGCATTAAATAATATACTGCTTATGAAAGGTAGCAAACATTCCCGATTTTTGTGTGCAAGTTCTAAATTGGAGGTGACTTTCACTAAGGAAATGGGGCGTCATGTACTTGCTAAAGAAGATATAAATGTTGGAGAAGTTTTAGTTGATGAAGAACCTTACTTTGTCTTGTTATTGAAGTCACAATATCTTTTTAGCTGCAGCTATTGCCTCTCTAGAAACTTAAATCTTTTGCCTTGTGACCATTGTTGTTATGCCTTATATTGCAGTGATGACTGCAAGAAAAAAGCTCTGAAAAATTATCACTGTGTTGAATGCCCCTTATTGGCAACTTTGTTTGATATGGATTTTACCAAACTCGAATTACTTGCATTAAGGACTGTAATTAAGGCCCGATACGATCACAGTGATTGGGAGAGTCTTTTAAAAACAATTGAAGATGCTGAAGCTAATATGGATAATGAATTTCGTGGCCATATTCAACACAATGGAAAATGGATTTTTGATTCAAAACATTATGCTACAATACATACATTAGAAACTAACATAAATACAAGATCTGTATCTGATATATTCCAGAAAGCAGTGACAGCAGCTGTGTTTTTAAAGTTTTTGATGGATCATTCAAACTTTTTGCATGTTTCTGATGATGATATCCTCAGTGAAAAAGTGAAAAGTTGTGTTTCAGGGATGTTACTTCTGCATTTGATGACAAGTCCAACTAATATGCATGGTATCAGCTCAAATATCGAGTCAGCAAATGGAACATTTGTGGAAGAAGTCAGTTTAGCTAGTGCACCATATGGATATCACAGTCTTTTGAATCATTCATGTGCTCCTAATGTTGTCAGATTAAATGAGCTTGGATCTGGTAGGATGATGTTGTTTGCCTTACGTCCAATTAAGAAAGGCATGCAAATATTTGATAACTACGGGTAATAACAATTCTTTTTCTTTATTTCAATTCTATTAAAGTACTAAAAATACAACATAAGATGGTAAGATTTTCGCATATTGAGGATATTAACCACTTAGTAGCTGAGTATCTGGACGTTTTACCCGATAGACACTGGTTCTAATTCTGTCAGGAGCCATATAATATTTTCGACAATTTTATCTACACATTTTAAGTTTCATATCATAAGTGTAGAGACTTAAATTAAGAATTAAATGTCAACAGCATGACAATCTCTAGGATTTTTTTTTGGAATTTCATCTACATAATATTTCAATTTAACTCTATAACCTACAGATTTGAAGACAAATCATACTAAACAAGATACTAATCTTGTTTAGTATAATTTGTCTTCAGATCTATAGGTTTGTTATGAAAAACTAAACAATATAAATCTGATTTTGTCATGATTTGATGTAATCTTGATATGTAAGTTCTTTTCTTTATTTACAGTGCACATCATGCTCTTGAAGATTGTCAATCACGCCGGGCATCCCTTAAATCTCAATATAAATTTATTTGCACTTGTGAAGCTTGCATCAATAACTGGCCGACATATTTGAGCATGGGACCATCTACTTTTATACCAGCAAGGTTAATAAACATAAAAGATAAATTGTTGGATATAAGTGTTATCAACAAATTAGAAAGGGGTGACATGGATACGGCAATTCAATTGTTTAAGTCTCTGTGCAGCCTTTGTCACCATTTTGAGCCATATGCACCTTGTATGGAGTTATCTGACTGTCAAGAAGCCCTAAAACAATGCTTGGAAATATTCTCTGGCTTATTACCTTATGGAAGTAAGTTAATGATACCTTGGACTGCTATACCACCTAAATTGTAGGACAATTGTCGGGGCATTTGTAATTTTTTTTTAAGATTAATCATTTTAATGCTTACAGAATAAAGCCTAAGATTGTATTTTCATAGTAATGTTGAAAAAATATGATATTTAAAATTATCGTATCTCTGCTATTGTGGTGATTTTTTTGTATTTAATTAAACTTAACAAATTTTTAGTATAAATAGTATGTATTTGTGGTTTTTTACAAAAGTTCCTATATATATTTTCTAAAAAATTTAAATTTAAGATTGTGCTAAAAATTTAAAACAATGGTCCTATAAACCAATTCTTGAAACTTGATTATAACTTAAGTATTTTTAATATTTTTGGTAGTTGCATTATATGTGATACAGTTGTTTCTAACACATTTGGATTTATGTCAATAAGTTTTGTAATATAATCTAAGATCTATTTGTGAAGTTTTTGTGAATATTATACAATTGAATTGAGTTTTAAGAATAACTTTGGTGGAATTGTGATAACTCATAAAGCAAGCCATTAATAAAAAGAAGAAGAAGAATCGAAAAATCTGGGATAAGCAGTAATAATAGTAATTATACGAAAGTGAAGCACCATTTCTGAGTAGGTAATAAAAAAATCATATATGCATCAAAATACATTGTAATCACTTAATTCCAGACAGGTCTTACCTCAAAAAGGACCTTGTTAAAAATATAAGCATGCCGTAGATTAGATTCTTTAACTCTCTGGTCATTACATAAATATAGTATATATAATTAGTAACTATTAATTTATAACAATGACAATGTGGCTAATTTTAACTTGAATTGTATTGAGAAAGGGAAATTTCTTTTAAGTAATGAAAGACTTGTTTACATTGTTAATTCTTATTTATATAAAAATATATTAATAAATAATCACAAAATTTAATTTTGCTGTTATAAATAGATAACATTTTTCATATAATAACTAAAATTGTTTACATAAATGTTAGTGCAGGCCCATCACAGTTTTCATCAACCCAGAAAATAATACTTGGGGTAATGAATCTTATTCGATGGAAGTCATAGTTATATTCATTGAGAAAATTCTTTTAAAGTTGGTAGAGTTGCATGGAACAGACTTCTCTACCACCTTTCATTATCACCTACCATCTTTCATTAAAACGTAAATTTTAAGGAGTTGACTTTTATGCATAGTTTTCTCATATTTTTTCTAACTAAAAGATCACATTTTACAAAGATCTGATATAGTACTTTAGTATTTGGTTGCTAACCTTCGTATTGGACTGCAATTGGTTAACTTGCTACCTCAGTGATCTAAGTGCGCCTCATTTAAAATTAAATTACTTGATCAGCCTGGCATGACTCCACTTTGCAAACCGCACCTACTCTATAGTTAGATGTTCTGATCTCCCAAGAATACAGTATCCTAATGGGCGTGCTGTCAAATGCTCACTGCTGCTGTAAAATGTCACTTAGATCTTAGATCATTCTGGTTCCAGTGTCGTTAATTAACTGAAGTACCAAAAAAAATGGCCAACTGCCTTCTGTATGGAGCACATTTTATTAAATATAAGTGTTTTCATTTAAGATTATAATTGAAATTGTAATATGCACCTACTAGTGTCATAATTTTTCTGTTGAAAACAAAAAAGGTTAATTTTGTAATGTATGTGTTATAAATATATTTGATTGTCTAATAAAGAGTTCTTTATAAACATATTTCAGAAAATTATTTTAAAGCCATTGTTTAAATAATTATCTTTTATAGGCACATTGAATTATATATAAATATTAAAGGATAAACTATAGCATGCTAATAATAATGAAATTAATAATGAGTTAAATTGATTAATAATAGATCCGGAAGGTTGAATGTCTTTGGTGTTAAGGGCAGTTCTTGTCAGATACTCAATAACGGTGTCTTCATTAAGTACCGTAATACGACCATATCGGCTTGGATTGATGGGACTGTTTTTTTTAATATAATTTAGAAAACATGTCACCTCATTGTAAGGAAGGATGTCCTTTGGGAGATTTTCGAAAATGCTATATCCGTCTCCGCCATCTGCTAAGAATCCTGGCAATATAATTTTATATTTTAAGTCAGGCTGGATCTCGCCTAAGCCGGAGCAACCGATACACATTGCTTTAGCAGATTGCACTCGATGTCCGGATGGTTTTGATAAATCGTAGATTACTTCGACGCCGGACATCTGTAGAAATTGACCCGGGCTGTCGATGGTACGCCAAGATGCCACAGAATGCTCTAACGACTTCAATAGAACTGAACCGTTCATTGTTATAATGGTCAGTGTGTCTGAAAACGGTAGAATTGTGATCAAATCTCCCCTTGTGATGTTGAACGGTGGCTCAGGCCGGCCTAATGATGCTCTGATTCTTCCTCCTTGGATCACGGCGATCTTTACGTCATCATACATTTCATTAGTGTAATTCAAAATTGAGTCTGTAATAATATTACCTAAGTTACATTCTCTTATACGACATTGTTCCCCATCAAGGAACGCCAGTGAGCTTCCAACTACTTCGTTATTAATACGATCTATGTCTTTGCGGTAACGCTTGATTATCTCCATTAGTTGTTCATCGTTCGGTATTTCTTGGTGCAGTAACATCGGATCGCCGAAGCATTTCAATAGTTTCCCAGATGCGTCGAAGAATAGATGCAGTTTACCTAAATATTTCGTATATGCGTAAGCTTGGACCACGGGCACCGTCCTCCCAGACTTTTGCTTCACAATAGTTGGATACAATCCTTGGGGATGCTCCGGAGATTCCGTGAAACTTTCACCGTTCCATAAGAAAGTGTTGGAATGGCCCCCAATCACTAAATCGAGCCCGTCGACTTCCTTAGCAATTTCCAAGTCTTTTAAGAACCCTGAATGACCTAGTGCTATTATAATGTTTACTCCCTTTTCTCTTAATATGGCGACTTCTCTACTTATAGCGGTTATTTCATCTTCGTATTCCACGTCATTTTTTGGCGCGAGGAATTTCGTGTCCGGTGTCAAATATCCTATGATGCCGATTTTAATACCTTTCCTCGTTAAAACAATTGATTTGTATAGATTGGTTATATTTTGCAATTCGGGCACCTTATCTAATATAAGATTTGCAGCTAATACTGGCGACGTCAGATTTTTTATAAATGGCACAACCCCGCCAACTTCCTCGTCAAATTCATGGTTTCCAAGGCACTGAAACAAACAAATTTGAATCTGTTATTCATTTGTTATGCTAAATTATGAAAGATCTTTATTTCTGAAACGTTTAATTGCTTCGCACATTTAATGTTTAGTCATGCTTATATTCTAATTAAGATATAAGTAAAAATTGGAGTTTTTTACGGGAAAAAAGTTTCCAAGTTGTTCTTGTAAAAAGAAAATAATGAAAATGAATGAAAAGATCATATAGAGGTACAGGTAAACATTAGAAGGCAATATGATATGATATGAAGATATATTATCAGAGTTCTTTTATGTCTACAAAACAGTTGTTGATTATCTCTAAAACAGTAGTGTAACTGAATTGTTTGTAAAACACAAACAGAAAATACACTCATTTGATTTTCCTTTGTAAGATGGTTTCCAATGGAGTTAACTTAAATATTATATGTGTACATTATATGTAAAGGTTTTTTTATCAGTAGTGGAAATATTTTGGCAAATTCGAGATTTAATGACGGTTTTCATGTCATTCGTAAAGCCTTTCGTGGCAAAGAAAATAACTTATTTTTAAATGTCTTTAATTTACTACGATTTTAATGAATAAGTTTTGTCAATTTCACATCTATTAATTGAATATTAATTTTGCCGCCAGCCTTTAAACTTCACTGCGAGAAAAGGTAGGACACCTTTAAGATTGGCAAAATGTTATGTATTCTAGGAATAAACGAAGTAACTGGAGTAGCGTATGTACTGTTTTTAACGAAGCTCAGATTTTACTATTAGTCGAGGCGCCAATTCTTTTAATTTTAAATTTGGATTAAATTGTGTTATAACGTTCAGACATTCAGGCTGGACTATTAGGATGTTTAACAAAAAGAAATAGTTTTCAACGATAATTGGATATTTGTTTAATGTTAGAAGGGGGCAAACGTGCTGGCGGATCACCCGATGTTAAGTGATACTACCGTCCACGGACATTTGCAACACCCGTAGAATAACCCTTAGAGTTGCAGATGCGCTTCCACCTATTATTAAAGTGGTCCCGGTTACCGGAAGATACGCAGATGTGTAACACTTCCACTTTATGCCGATCTTCTGTGTGGTCGCAGCACTTTCCCGGGCGGACCTGTCCGGTTACTTTGTAATAGATATCACGTGTATTTATTTATTTATTGAACGCGCGTTTCTGAACCGCAAAGCGGTGCGCGAGCTTAACTAGCCATTGTCAGGCAGACACCGCCCACTAGAAAAAAGGTCTGTGTGGATATTTTTTTTAACTATTCTTAATTTTCCTGGATTAAATTAGATTATACTTACCTGTATTGTAAAGATATTGTAAATAAAATAAAGTTATTAAATATAATGTTCACTCCCACAGACCTGTCGTTTTCTACACGTATTATGGCGATGGTTGGATTTATCGTTTGCACTGGGATTATAACCCACGAACTAAATCCAAAGAATCATCAGCTTCATAAATGTCACGAAGCTTAAACGAATGGTCACTACCGAGTGGGTCCATATTCCGAAAGACAAAGCATTTAGCAACCAAAATCCCAGTAGAAAGGAAGCTGTAATTTCATTACTTCATTAAAACGTACTTCTTATGTTTATTTTAAGTTATTATTATGTGCGGCGGTATGTGGATTAGGTGAAGCGCCAGCACGTTTCTATCTTATTAATTAAAAAAATCTTTTTTTATAACTAAAATTATAGAGACTAGCACTAAAAATAAAAATCCTAAAACTGATAATTCAAAATTTGAAGTATAAATATTTCAAAACGTTTTCACTTTCTTGGTCCTTAAATTTGTCTGTCATTGTTGTGTTGATGAAAGTTATCCACATTTGCTATTTTTAGTGATTAGGGTTAAATGAAATACCTAATTTAATTTGTTCCATTGAGTTTGAGTTCTGATCGAGATAAAAATTAGTTTTTCTTAACAAGTATAAGGTTTAAGCGTTAAAAACAAAATATCTAAAAAAATATCGTGCAGTTACATATTTCTCAAACAAAATTTTGGGAGTATGATCCTCGACTAGAATAGTTTACGTATTCATGTTTTAAGAATGTATGAGATTGTATCAGAAAAAAAAATAGTCATCACGTAGGTATTTAAAATATCTGTGACTAATCTGACATTGTTTGCAGTATAAGAATATTTTGTACCTTTTATATAGTATTAAGTCTGTTCTGTGAAATAAAACACTTAAGCATTACAGATTATTTATTTGCACTGTTATTGAGATATAAAAAATTCTGTAAGACGTGTTCGAGATAGAGTTAATATTGACAATAATGAAATATTTTTTTATTTTTTACATATTTTTTAAACTTAAATACCTATTATTTTGAAAATAATTTATGAAACTTCCAAAGTCACATATATAATTTTATGTGAAATCTCACAATGCATTTTATTTACTTAATTGTAATAAAATCTAACCAACAACTGGAAAACGTCTTGGAACTGACAACTGGAAATGACAAATAAACCTAACTAATTTCAACTCTAAGCGAGTTTTTAAGTATTACAATTATATAAATATTTTTTTTAATTTGAATGGCAACGGTAGGTAGGATCGTCTTAATGAATACGTACATATTATTCTAATTTGTACTCATATCTTATTGGTAAGGAGTTTATACATTTCGTTATATCAACTCAAAAAGTTGGGATTGCGGTGAAACTCGTTTAAGCTAAACTAGTTAAACACTAACAGTAAACAGATCACAACCTTCTCCAGCACTGGGCGTTTATAATTTACTTTATTTTAATGCTTATTAAATGTTGATTATTTCTAGTTAATAAGTATTTACATCTCTTAAAGACTACTTTCGGCTGTGGTATTTCACAGTATCTTATTTTATACTACATTTTCTTACTTTAACGACGCTTAACATATTTTAGCCACATTATTATTGAAAGTAGGTAACAATAATAACAAGAAATAACATTAATAACGAAGAAGCAATGAACGTAGACGAATTATTATTTCCATCAACAAGAATTACTCTTCCTTCTTCCCCAGGAAAAACTGGACTGTGATGTTGGACGTAATAAATAGTTGCACCTAGTTCATTATAACTCAAAGCTTCAGTCGGTAGCCCTTCGAACATCCAATATCCATCGCCACCTTTTGCTAAAAAATTAGGCATTATGACCTTGTATATTTCTTTGCGATCGATTTCGGAGAAACTTGGTATGTCACATGCGGCGCATCTGGCCTCGGCTTTAATTATTCTTGAACCGGAAGGTTTTCTTAGGTCGAACATTACTTTTATTCCAGAAACCTGTAAGAACTCTCCTGGATAATCTAAAGGATCGTAGTTTGAAACACCATATTCGAGCATTTGTAAAAGTATGTTACCGCTCATTTTAACTGTTACTAATATTCCTTCAAAAGGCATTACACCCAATAAATCACCTTTAGTAATGTTAGTTGGTGTTTCTAAATTCGTTATAGATGATCTTATGCCTCCCCCCTGAATAGTTGCAATCGGAGCATCTGTCCAATATTTTCCTTTATAATCGGTTGCATAACGATAAACCATAGCATCGGCGATCATGTTTCCCAGATTGCATTCTTTATTCTGGCAGCTTAAACCATCCAGTTGTACTGAGGTATTTCCAATTACTTCTTCGGTGATGTTAAGAACGTCTCTCCTATAGCGTTCGACTATTTTTAAAAGTTCAGGATCTTGAGGTATGCTGTTATCTAAAAGGATGGGGTTACCATCTATACTTATAAGGTCCCCATTAGAACCGAATATCATATGGAGTTTCCCGAGATATTTTGTATAGGCGTAAGCTTGTACTACTGGAACTTGTTTGCCAGACGCTTGAGTTACATATGTTGGATACGGACCTTGAATTTCGTCCGAGTCTGGGGTTGTACCATTCCAAAGAAAAGTATTGGAATGTCCGCCAATGAGTAAATCAATATCTTCGACTGCTCTAGCAATCTCTATATCCCTTAAATAACCAGAATGACCAAGTGCTATTATTATATTTACGCCTTCTTTTTTTAAGTTCTTTACCTCCTCCTTAATAGCGACAATTTCATCGATATATTCAACGTTGTTGTGTACCGCTAACATCTTTGTTTCTGGAGTTAAATATCCTACTACTCCAACTGCTACACCGGAAACATTAAAAACGACAGATTTTCTGAGATTTGGTTCTCCCGCAAGCTCGGGAACTTTATTCAGCACCAGATTAGCCGCTAAGACGGGAGTCGTCAGGTTTTCTATAAATGGTGTGAGTCCACTGACTCCGTTGTCAAACTCGTGATTACCGAGGGACTGAAAAAAAAACAGTTATGAACAAATTATTTTTGAAATTAATGTGTTCGGAGCAATGGATTAAATAGTGATAGGATAATAGCTAATATAATAGATATTTGAAATATTGTATTTGAGAAGAAAAACTATGATATTCTAATTTCTAGTTTATAACCTTACACTTACCATATTATTATACCATACAATTACTATGCTTCGTTACGAAAGGCCCTTTTGTTTAACCGCTCGACTAATTATGCGTTTGGTATCGGGGGGAAATCATCAAAAGAAACCCTGTCATGATATCACAGGGTTATGTGTGGTTCGTACCCACTAAAACCCCCTCGGTGGTCAACTTCTGTACCTTTGGAGGGACTCCGGGATTTCCTACGGAATGCACCGGTGTCCCTCAGTACTGCGCGTGAGCACGCGTCGAAGAAGGGTAAACCTTCCCCCGAATAATTATGCCTATGTACTAAGGATGTGTGGAATATTTCGGGATGATGGCAGTGAGGAGCAAAGTGGGACGCTACTTCCTTAGATGCAGTTTATCTCAAGGAGACCTCGGAAAACTGTTTTATAAAATGGATTGTACATATTTGCCAGTTCACTAGGGATAATTCGGTTGAGTCTCCTTGTGTAACATTATCACTATCCTATTGTTACAAGAGTCATTTTTAAAACTCAGCGAGGCAATGCAGCTAACGATAACCGCGAGGATTCGCTAAATTACCACTTGGCACGACTGTAAAAATTGAATAAGTGGATATCCCTAAAAATCTCTGTTAACTAATGTGACGAAGAGTTGTTTTAAGGCTTTTTAAGGTTTGCTACAGATTTTTTATTGATATTGATTCTTTCTATGCAAATCGGCCCTCAAAGTTTGTAAATTTTATTTAAATTGTTCTCTTATATAAGATATTTGTCTAAAACATCTTTTGTTATATAATTATGTTCCTATGTTCCTACGGTGGTAGGGCCGCGCAGCAGGCTTGGCTGTTGCACGAATGGGCAGGCCCGTCCGGGTAAGTACCACGACCCCACAGAAGACCAGCGTAAAGTGGAAGTATGACAAATACTTTCGCGTTTCGTCTGGTGAGTGAGGTAGCCGGAGCCCAATTTTCAAAAGGTTGTCAACGCTTCTGTAACCCTCGGGTGTAGCAGATGTCCATGGGCGGCGGTATTCACTTAACACCAGGTGACCCGTCTGCTCGTTTGGCAACTTTCGCATAACAAAAAAATCCTATAGCATTTTTTTATACTATTAAAAGATAGTAAGCGAGCGGCCAGTTCGCCTGATGTTCAGTGATAACTGCCGCTCATTGACATTTGCAATAACCGTAGGGTTGCAGATGCGTTGATACCTTTTAAAAAAGTGGGCCGAAGCTACCTCACTCATCAGATGAAACGCAGAAGTATAAAACTTTTTTATAGGAAAAGGAGGCAAACGAGCATGCGGGTCACCTGATGGTAAGCAACCACCGCCGCCCACGGACATTTGCAACATCGGTTGAATCGCAATTGCGTTGCCGTTTCAATTCACGCATATTCGTGAAACGGTGAATAATGTTATTTCTTTCTACACATTATTTTTGTCCCTGTAATTTTTTTTATTTTATCATTATGATTTGCAGACGTATTTTTGGATGCCAAAAATGGTTATTATTTTTTTAGCTTTGACCATCTGTCCTTATGTTAAGGTCCATATTTGAACACTAGGTATATTAAATTCAGTTTTGTTTAAATTTTTATGGTGTGGTAGTAATGGTAGTATGAAACAGGGTCTGGTCTCAGACCCTGGTTCATACTGCCATGGTTCTATAATTACTGTGTGCGAGTTACATAATTTAATAATACGAAGGTTTTAATGAAATAGGCGTATAAGTATTGATAGTAGTAGATATTAAGCGGTACTCTCCCAAGGAGGGTTGATGTCATGCTTCCTGGTCGGAAAAAACTTAATCAAAACCGTTTACATATAAGGAATAAGGGCAGGATGATTATGATGACTAAGCGTACGAAACTCTACTGTGCATATAGCACGTTGAAACCTATGTATATAAGTTAAAATAAAGGGAAATAATGGGCAACATAGTGCTATAACATTTTTAAAATATCTGATCCGTATGGTAAGTTTGAACATATTTCCTTCGAATGGCATGACGATCAAAAGGTCGCCTTTAGTCACTATAGTTGGAAGGTTTACGTGAGCAATTGATGCTCTGATTCCTCCGCCTTGAATTATTGCAACAGGCGCATCTGTCCAACTTTTCCTGTATAATTTGATGCATGTGTATGCACCATGGCGTCAGAAACCAAGTTGCCCATATTGCATTCTTGAAGCCGACATGACCTTCCATCTAAAATCACCGATATGTTACATATTGGTATTTCAGATATTTTCATAACTTCGTCACGATATTTGTTAACTATTTGTAGAACTTCATAATCTTGTGGTATTGAATTATTTAAAAGAATTGGATTGCCAGTAAAAAGATAAGGTCACCCTCGTTGTTGAATACTAGACGCAATTTTCCCAAATATTTCGTATAGGCGTATGCTTGAACTACTGAGACTAACTTCTCTGACTTTTGTTTAACTAACGTAGGATATGGGCCGTCTGGTTTTTCCGTGTCGGGAGTTGTACTATTCCACAGAAAAGTATTTGTGTGACCGTCAGTGACAAGATCAATTTTCTTTACTTCTCTAGCTATTTCTAAATCTTTGGTAAATCCTGAATGTCCTAAAGCTATAAATAAATAATAATAATAATAAATATTTTTACACAACGATCTCTAGTCCCAAACTAAACAACGCTTTGTACTATGGGTATTAGATAACTGATAACCTACACATAACCTACACATACTTTTTATTGTAAATAAATACATATTATACATATATAAACACCCAGACACTAGAAAAACACTATGTGTAATGGGGTTCGAGCCCACACCCTCTGGCGCAGAAGGCAGGTACACTACCCACTACGCCATTCGGGTCTTCGAATGGCGTAGTGGGTAGAATGGAATATGGTTACATTTTCCTTTTTTAGATTTTTAATATCATTATTTTAAGCTGTCACTTCATCGGTAACTCTAAATTGTTTCTCATTGCTAGTATTTTTGTATCGGGCGTAAGATATCCGATTATTCAAATTCTTGTTCCGTTAATATCAAATATTGCAGATTTCAACAAATTTTGTTCACTTTGCAAATTAGGTTCCTTGCTAAGTATAAGATTTGCTGCAAGTACGGGACAAGTTAAGTTCTCAATAAAGGGCGTTAGTGCCGAAATGCCATTGTCGAATTCATGTTTGCCCAAGGACTGGAAGAAAAAAATAATAGTACTATATTGAGTAATAAGTTTTAAATGAATAAGTAACGTGCATTAATCATGCGAGCCCAATATAAAAATGAGTAGATATTATTTTAATATAAGTATGTATGTGATAAACATTAGTTGAGATCATAAATAAAGTTATGTGTCAAACACAAATAATGATTTTTTTTTATTTCCAACCCTACTGCGAATATCATAACTCCATCCATTCACTCACTTCACTCCATGGCATTTTTACCAACTGACGATTTGGAAGTGATGTCAATAATAAACAACATATAGAGTGACGCTTCCCCTGGATGGGATAATATACCAGCTAAATTATTGAAACATACCAAGAATACAATCACTCCAATTCTAACGAAATTATATAACCTTTGCAATGAAGAAGGCACTTTTGCAAAGGCTTTTAAAATCTCAGTTATAAGCCCTATTTATAAAGGAGGTGACAAAGACAATATAAGTAATTACCGCCCTATATCTGTTCTACCTATAATGTCAAATTTTTTTTTTAAAATTATAAATACACGTCTCATTAGCTTTTTAGAACATAATAATATTTTTTCTGATTCACAATTTGGTTTTAGAAGAGGGAGATCAACAGAAGATGCTGTGAACGAACTATCTATGTTGCCAAAAGCTCGATAACAAACTTAAGTGTATTGGAATTTTCTTAGACTCCACGAAAGCTTTTGATACATCAAAAAATTACATCATGTCGGTGTCCGTGCAAAACTCTGGATTTCTTTTCAAGCTACCTTACTGATAGGAAGCATAAAGTAAAAATAGGGGATCATGTAAGCTCTGAAACTATTATCACATGTGGTGTTCCCCAGGGCAGTGTGGTGGGTCCAATTCTTTTCCTTATTTATATTAATGAGCTCGGCAACCTCAATTTACATAACGGAAAAATCTTCGCATTTGCTGATGACACGGATATTGTGTTTCATGGCGAAACTTGGGAAGAGGTATTTTATTAAAGTAAAAACATGGCTCAGACAAAATTTGCTAAGACTGAATTTAGAGACATGACAAAACTTTGGATAGATATAATTACATAAGAGCTCACGATTGTTGTGTCAATGAAATCCAAACACGAAATATTGATTGCTCATGCCCTCGTGTGGAAAGAATGGTTGTTTTGAAATATTTGGGAGTATATCTCGATACGAACTTAAACTGGCAATGTCACATTAATATGCTATCAGGCCGAGTACGTAAGCTAATATGGGTATTTAAAAGACTGCGTAACATAGCTAACCAGTTTCTCCTCAAGTCAGTTTACTACTCGTTATGTCAATCGTTGATCACCTATTGTATCTCTGCTTGGGGAGGTGCAACTAAAACAGCTATAATTCCATTAGAGCGTGCTCAAAGATCTGTACAACTGTATTCCGTTTCCGATTCAACTGTATTCTGACTGCCAATTACTCTCAGTGCGTAGGTTATTCATATTACATTTCACTCTCAGATATCACAGGTGCTTTAAGTTCGATTCAAGACTCTATAAAACAAAAAGAAGATATCGAAATATTTGTCCTAGCGTAAAATTTAACATCGTTTTTTGTCATCGCTTTTATTGCTTTCTGGCACGATATCTGTATAATGAACTTCACAAGAGACTCGATATATTCCATTTGAACCAATTTGCCTGTATAAAAAAGTTTGACGAATACTTA